GTGACGTTCTGCACATGTCAGAGCAAATTATTATTGTTGTTTTTAAATTTGACGTGTCCATAAGCTGACTTGTCTGTATGTTGGACATCCATTCGTCAGCTAGGGCTTTACTGAACAGTAGTATATACATTATCTCCATAACTCGAAATAGAAGCCCTGTAAGCATGAATTTTCGATTTTTGAATAAAATTATTTTAAAACATTCAAGAAGAAAGGCCACGCTCAAGGTGCTCCACTGAATAAATTGACCGAAAACCGAGCTACTGTATATGAAGCGAACAAGTTCGATAAACTTCGCTTCAGATCGAATTCCTCGAAGTTTTAATGGGAAAAAACTTCGTATGTTTCGATGAATGAATCCGGATTCATGGCATTAAAAGTGCGGAAGAGAAATGTACATAAGCAAATGAACCTGTCAGCTCAAGCATTATAGGATTTTTCGCCGCTTGGATTTGCATGTCATCTAGGATTTGTTTCTAAAATATTGTACTACGTTGGCACCGGAAAAGCTGATGAAGCAGTACCCGGATACCTTCATGTGGTAAAAAAAAAATTGCATTATTTTCTAAGCATGCTTACAGAAAGTCCATCTCAGTCGCGTCAGAAGGATTTTTGTCCAGATTTTGCCTGCACTGTACGCAGAAAAAGCTTCAAATGCAGCGTCAAAGAAACGCAAACCTGGCATCAACAATAATTCTGGGTTGCATTATGGTCCTACAGACCAGTTGTTACTCTTTCACCGATCAAGGTTTCAGAACTGATTGCTGGCAAGGAAATTTTCGAACCCACCTGTATCACGCAAAGCCTCTGTTTCCAGCGACACAACGCCTTCGAAATGATTGCTCGATAAGCTTTTGTTGTGAAAGCCAACTATTCTGCCTTCAAGCGAACAACGACAATCTCGTTTTTCAGCATTGACGCGTGAGCATTCGCGTTCATTCTCTACATTAAATTACGTTTCGTCGGAATATATAGAAAAGATGCTGAATGAATGGTCTGCTTTTCACTGATGCACAAAGGATGCTCCTGTGTATCAAAAATTAAAAGCCCCGTGCCTCTAAAACGTCGAAAAACTTCTGAAGCAGAATGCGCAATCTTCTATTCAATCGATTGATAAATATACTTTATTTGCTTCAGCGTTCACAAGGTTCAAAACATTTTTTATCAGAGAAATACACAACACCCGACAGTTAGTAAACGCAAGTTGAAGCACAAGGTATTCAGTCTGTTCCGAGATACATATCAATTGATTGAACAATTTAGAAAGAATCTTTGAAGATAAATCGTATTGGGAAAAAACTTTTCCCTGGCCCTCCAAGATTTGAGAGAGTGCATTTCCTATAGCAGAGTTTTACAATCTATTTGTAATCGTACCATTTTAAAAGTATTTCAACAATTGCTAACAATTCGGGGGGGAATACAGTACCATAAGTGGTTTTCGTTTTAGAGTTTTTTATATCGGTTTACCTCTGGCATTGATGAAGAATACCTGTCTGTGTGCCACAGAAAAACAAAACAAAACAAACACAGCTTACCACCTGCGACGAGTCGGTGCTCCACCATGGGTGAGCTAACAGTACCATTGGTCAAACAGCTTGGTTCTAGCGGCCTTGATGAGAAAAAACAAATGACTCTGAGAGTCTGCCATATCACGAAAACTTGCCACCAACCTTTTTGACCTGTGGTATGCATATTACAAGTGGTGTACCCAGGAGGTGGTACGCAAACAATGTCGTGTCTGGAAAGGGGCACAATCCTTGGAAAGCTTGAAAAGCCTTGGCATGAAGTCCCGATGTAAAGGCACGTTAATTTCATAATTTTCAAAATTTAATTATATCTATCAGGGGGATCAATAGCCCTTTGTTTTTCCGTGTGCTTGGTCAATTGAAGGAAGAAAACGTGGCGTGATACTGCGTTGTAGCGAGGATCTTTGCGCATTTACCGAGTCAAGACTGTTCCTTTATTTATTTTGATTTACTTTAAAAGTCAGTCGAGCATTACCACGGTTGGAGATGGAAAGAAAAAAAAACCGCGATGCCTCGAGTCTATCGAAAAACATGAACTTTCTTCTTTCACTTTCCCGTTCGCTGAATTCATCGTGCATCGGTTCGGATGCATCGGTATCCCAGTTGATTTATGATGACCTCGTTTCTCTTATTCCATTATGCACGCGGAGACAACCTTGTTGATTGTTTATACTCCCGCTCGGAGGTTCTCGATACTTCGAAGGAGCAGCATTTACGCATACCTTGAAACGTTTCGTAAAACTGACCAGGTGTTCAAGTAGGCGTTCATTTACACTGTATAAATGAAACTCAAGTGAAGTTATACAGCGCGCGGAGCAACTCACATGTCCGAGCGAATCGATGAATTTTATTCATCTTAGGTGCATCTGGCCTACTATTTTTGTTCAGTTCCTTGTACAGTATTAAGGAGGAAAATTAAATTGCATATTATTCCGTCGTATGAGATGAGATGAGATATACTGCTTGATCAAACATCACTTCTTATTATTGATATTTTGTTTTTGTGATCAGGGAAGGGAAGAAAGTGAATGTACAGTAGAAATCTGCTATAACGAATCTCGTTATAACGAATTATTTGTTATAACAAATATTTTCTTGGTCCTGGCAGCCCATAGGCATAATGTTATACAAATTTCTTCATAACGAAGGAATATGAGGCTGTAATCTCATTATAACAAAATTTTGCCATGATTCTTTGCACAGCCCATACAGAAATTACTCAAGAAATGGCAGAAATTATTAAAGAAATTAAAATATGCAGCATTACAACTTCATAAAAAAATCTGTTTGCAAAGAAAACTTGCTATCCAAAAAATACACAACAGGACATATTTTTTGAAATTCTTTAGCTCATCCATTTTAGAATATGTCTTTTTCAAATAAAAAGTATGTTAAAAGAATGTTCCTCTATTTTAGAAAGAGCCATGAGTGGATACGTTGATTGAGAAGGAAATGGAGCATGTTTACCATATGTAATTTTGTTTTAATTTTTCATGACCAGCAATACTCCAGTACAAATGTTTGTTTATTTAGAGGAGAGTACTTTTTATACAGTATTAATGGATTTCTCTTCATCTCATCAGAAGGAATCACTAATTATGCTAGGTCTTGAATTCTGTGTTTTAGAAGCATTTCAAAGTATGTATTCCCCATTTCCAATAAAATTGCAGTCTGAAATTTGCTAAAAATCAATAATCTTAATACAGAAAATTTTTTTTTATCATGATTTTTTTCAGGTCCCCAGGAGTTTTTTGTAACGAGATTTTACTGTATTTATATCAGTTGTATGGTTGCACTTTTTGGGATGTACAGTATCGTCTTGTCTTTTAATATCCATGTGCAGCTTGTTTCTCTGTTTTCCATTCTTATGATGCAAAGAATGTGTTTGGATGAATGTGGGTGGGGAGGGGAGGGGGTTTCGATGTGGGAACATCGGTTGAGCCTTGAAAAAGCGGAAAATAAAACCGCTGTTCAATTCAATTCAAATTCACTTTTATTCTTGCTGCCTCCGTGAAGCTTTGGATTTATTTTGTGAATGAATGGATGCAAAATCGTTCCATTGTGTACGAGAAATGATTGTCTCGGCCATCGGGTTCTTCATCAATTTTACTGCGAATCGTAAAATCAAGTATTTAATATTTCGGTACTTGCTTTCGAAAATTCTCAGCTTAAGAGCAATCTGCTCTGATATCGATCAGATTGTTCAATTACAAGTTATTACATCTGCTATCCGCATGAGAGTAATCAGAATAAACGCGTTGAAAGCACAAAAAATTCAATAAAAAATCTTGATTCAGTACTGATTTTTTATGACTTTCCTATATTGCCAATTCCGAAGGCAAAATTTATCGAAGAAAAACTGTTGCCGTTTTCTTCTCCGGAGGACCCACGCCATCATAAATCAAATTAGTTTGGTACTGGTGAACAAAGCAATCCCGGCAAACAAAGCAAAAAATTGCTTGCCGCGATCTTTTTTTTAGGTCTGCGAATCAGTCGACTAAAAACAAGCTCTCCAAGCAAGAGTCGCAATTTGCTCCGTTTTACTCAACTTCCCAAGTACTCCACGGCTGCTTCAGAAGAATAAAACTACGGTATTTGAAAATAAATTTGATGCGAAGAACTCGGACTCGAAGAAAAGAGAAGAGCGTTCAAGTCTAAATATGAGAATGAAAGTAAGTACAGTATAGGCCAAAAGCATATGCTGTGTTCTGGAGACCAATAAATAATTTTCAGGACTAGGGGAACGGAGCTCATCAGCAGAAAACTTCCGCAAGAATAGGTGGTCCCCGATAAAAATTATTTTAGATATGTCCATCTGAGGAAACTGGATGAAAAACTTCGTAAGAGGTTCAGAACCTGTGCTTCGTGGAGCCCTTTCATTGTTCATAATTTCCAGGGGATCCGCGGCCGACGAAATAAAAAACTGTAGTTGGAGGAATCAGATTACAAGAGCTATTATAACCATAACTGAAGTAGAATACATTTAATGTGTTGAACTTGTAAAGCATATGGTCCACCAAACGGGCTCCATCATAAAAAATCGATTTCAAAATGGCTTAACAATTCATTTTAGAAACGGTTCCAAGTGTTTTTTAAATTTTGTTTTGTTTAATGATTATAACTGTTCAAATTCATTCCGCGATCTCCTCGCCATTGGTTCGACTTTGAAATCTCAATATACTGTGTCCCAATATACATTAGGATTGATCGTTACATTCGATCCGCTAAACACGGCCTTCGGTCGGCTTCCTCAAAGAACTCCGGAATTCCCGGGAGAATTTTTATGAGGGGACGCGAGAGAGAAATGCGTTCTTACAGTTTCCAGTTCCGAAACAAAGCGGGATATCAAGAAGTAGCATGTCACCAAGTTCGAGGGCAAAGCAGGATCACGGAAATCGCGAATGAGTAGCTATCATATAGCTGTCCGTTCGAGAACAATGAGAAGAACCGTATCAAGCAACAATCATTTACTGGCTACGGCTTTTCAGTTGGGCGTACATGTACCACGTAACTGGTGGTAAGTGGAGTAATTTCCAGTTGCTTCGTAGAACTGTCTGAGAAAAACAAATCGCAGGCACCGAATCTGATTGGGCACAAGCTACGTTAACAGAAAAAGGGGGTTGGGGGAACGCAAGCATATTTCTGAATTACTGTAGTAGGTAATGTACTGTATATGAAGTACCACCTTTACTTGAGAAATACGCACAACGTTATTTCAAATATTTTGAATAAAAAATGGGTACGCGTCATACGTGGGTGAAACGTTTCAGTTCAAAATTTTGTCGCGCAATCTCAACTGTTTGAGAGATAGTATTTTTTAAACCACATCACCCTCAATTAAAAGAAGGAATAGCAGAAAAATGGAAATGGTTTACTTCAACCGAAATTGACACACTCGTTTTTGTCATTTATCTGATCATTGAAAATTTTGCCATAAAATCTAGGGTGCGCATCGTGGGGGGCAAAGGTTTTTCCCAAACTTCGGAGCATGCCTTTTTTGAGAGAGGATATTCCTTTCATAAATGAATAATTCGCCTAGTAAAAATCAACCCTAAATTTATTACTGTATATCACAACTAGTGCTATGTGCCCTCACTTTCTGCCACAAATTTCGCCAGGAAAATCGTTCACCGTCGTGTGCACACCTTATGTACAATAGCCACAATTTATCAATGACTATCCATGACCATTTTTGGCACTAAGTGAGAGTGGTACTAAATGTATGATGCCAGTCCTTGACTTCAGTATGCTTTGAACTTTGTCAAAGTGAAAATTTCCCTTTTGTTCTGAAGCCCTGCTGCAAGGAAAAGTCAAGAAAAGAACATGCTAAAATATACCCTTCTTTCCTCTTTTTTCTCGTTCTTTGGAGAATTCCAAAGTTAAATTAGTCTCAGCCAAACTTTGATGCGAAACACATTTGTTACGAGAGTCACTCTCTTACCCCACTACAAAAATGTTGCACTGGTGGTAACTTGCAATTTGACCTCCCAAAATTTGACAGTTGAATTTGCAAGGAGGTTGACTTGCAATTTAACCCTCTCCACGCAATTCGACCTGCTTTTTCCATTTTTTAAAATTATAGTTTGAATTTGACGGAGTGTCTCGCAATTCAACCAATTGGCGATTCAACCCTAGTTTGGCAACGGATTAGGGTCAAATCTCAAGGTACAACCTGTACGAGTATTTTTTTTTCGAACCAGAACAATTGCACCTGCTTCTTTGCAAGAAGATTCTCATGCATCACCTGAGAGGTACCATTTGAGTGCTGAAAATCCTGCTGAAATAAATGTCGCCTTTCTCTCGCCATTGTTCGGTTGGAGATTCAAGGAGGTGGAAAAAGCCCGGGGACTCGAAAAAAAGGATATAAAACTGCGATAATCAACGGATACAACTCACCTCCTCTTTCCATGGCAGTCAGGGTAAGCGAGTTGTAACTGTCTGCAGATTGGCCCACGGCTTCTCGCAACACCCGTAGGATGTGCTGCTTGTCGTCGGCGTCCGACACGCCGCGGAATGAGTCGGCCGCGGACGCGAAAGTGACGACGACGGATTCTTTGTCACCGAAATGTCGGAATGACCTCGACGTGGTCGCCGTCAGGATTCCTGTCGCGGTTTGTTTTTCGTAGAACATGTTTTCGGCGCGTCACCCGCAACAACGCAGGATGAGAGCTCACACGCACACGCCCTGGATTTCTCGCGACGAACATGAATCATTGCATTTTTGAGAACGTTAGCTTATCTTACTCAGAGTGAAAACAGTAACTATTTATAAATATGCAGCATATATTTCCCCCGCGCATCACGAATTCAATCTTCTCACACCGCATCTGAATCAAAGCTCTCGGTGAGAAAACATAGCACGAATTTCATTATACCTACGTAGTTCTTTCGGAAGGTCTGGGTATGACGAAACAAGGCATTTTTGTTTCTAGGATCGACACCATTTCGCCTCAGCTTTAAAAGAACTGAAACATTCCCCAATTATTGCAGGTGTATAGGTCGCAAACTGGAAAGATATTCCACAAGGAAACAGTGGAAACTAGGGCGATTTCGGAGAGAAATGAGGCCTAGGCAATCACGTAGATGGCGGCAGTAAAGCACAACACTGTACAGTCTCTCATTCAATACTTGAATTTCCATATTTACTTGATGGCACCATGTGAGCGAGTATAGGCCGCAGCCGACGCATTTTTATTAAGATCGATAATTTAAAGGAAACACCGTCAGGAAAAAAATAAATTCTTGCTAAATAAAGGTAAAACAAAAATCCATTTTTTTCCAGCTTTAAAAAACAGAATTTTATTCCATCAACTATTTTCTGAAAGCTTCTGGTAGCTCGAGAAAAATATGTTGTTGTGAAGTAGCATTAAGTAGGGGACAAATAAAGGGGTTTTGCGTCTGTTAATTCTGAGTCACTGTAAATATGTCGAACATGTACCGTCTTATTCGAGCCAGGCCAGTATAAGCACTAATATTTCAGAGAATCGCTATTTTAGCACATTATTAATGGAGTGTGCCGGTCTACATCATTCGAGTAAAAGCACTAGATTAATATCGCATTCGTAAGTAATGGGTGCATCTTGTGTTAGAAAAATTTCTAGCAACTTAAAAATCGAAGAAAGCGCGCTCTCCATTTTAAAATTCAATAAATTGATCATAAAGGCAGCTTGGAAAATCGAAGATGTCTGTATAACTGGTTTCGTTTTACTCTTCGAGATCTACATACGAATACTGTTGATTTTAGAACACCAACAGCAGAAAAAAAACATGCTTTTGCATGTTGATTTTAAATCACACCAGCCAGAAAAATGCTGTCATTAATAATATAAATGCCCCATATCTCATCGAAGGGTTGATGAAAACATGTATCCACGGAATCCTCACGAGTTCAAAGCACCGATAGTTTTACATTTCCATTAAAAAAATATTTTCACGGACCAGCGGAAACGGAAATCTTACCGTCCGAGTTCAATTATAATACGGGAATGATCACTCAGATGTGGTGGAATATGTTTCAACAATCCAGTTTTTAAGGAAAAAAATCAGTAGAAAAGCCCCTTGGCTCTCCGAAGTTATTTTTAAAGCGAAGTCGGCTTAAAGAGCATCGACGAAGCGTGAGAGGCGCCGGGCGGGAGCGTTTAGAACTCGTAGAGTGTCGAACCCTTTCAAGCGCTCAATTTTTTTTATTTTTTGCGTCCTCGTGAAATTTTTTTTAATGGGGCACGATTTTCGAGTCTTCACGCACGGAGTTTGCCACTGAATGACCCACGCCGGGGACCAAGTAGTCCGGAATCGGGAAACACGCTGAGGATCGTTCGGATAAGCTGCCGGGGCTGTGCGGCGTGTTTCGCGTGCGTCGCGAAGACGAATGAAGGGAGACGGCGGCGGTGAGAAAGCGAGCAAAGACGCGGGCAACGAAGTGACGATTCACGCGTGGGTGTGCTTGAAGCCATATGTTGCCTCTCGGGCGCGTACGAGCCCGTCATATCCAGCATCTCCGCCAGAAAAAAAAAAAAAGAACCCCGGACCCGTGAACCACCTGGATGGTTTTCTATAGGTGGTACGCCTATGACCCAACATGACTACCAATCTATAAATTGCCAACCCTCGATTCGTGTGCCCTGAATGCCACCTGAAGAAATGTTTGTTATATTAGATTGATAACTTGTATAACAAGTCCTAGAATTAGTGCCAAGAATTAGCTATGGATAAATGGTGCGGTCTAGCATAGGTTGCCCTGATTGATCGAACTGTAGTTTCCACTTTTTAAATTGCCAATGTTCAATTGAAATTTTTCTCATTTCCCGAAACAGAGAAAATATGCAAGAACCCAGATACGGCTTGTGAAGATAATTTTCAGGCAGTTTTTCAACTTTTTCCGTGTTAAGAATAAATTTAGTCAATTTTCCAGCAACAATGGATAGATTAATTTCGTTGAGCACTTTGCCACATATGGGCAAATGACAGCATTTTTTCTGGTGGAATAATGAGGGGATTCCAGATGGGCCTATGTTCGCATGAAAACTGATGGGTCGTGGAACAAAACTGATGGAGTTGCTTCAAAATGTTTTTTTTTTTCAATTGAACAATTCAATTCCGGCAATCTATTCATTGGCAAAACGGGACTGCCTCAGATCGCGGTGTGGCCCATATTCCTTCTATAATGCCCTCGCGCCGTATAGCCGTGTAAACACAGTAAAAGAAGGCGATTTCCCTGCTGGTGAGGGCGACGTGTTTTAAACGGCGCGGCGTTTTTGTCGAAAAACAAAGTGATGGACAGATCGTCGTGGCCTCTTGGCCCTTGAATCCTACGACGGCAGGGCATCGATTGCATTGCCTTTCGTGTCTGACCATCACGCGACGAGCCGGGAAAAATAAGTCGCCTGGAAGAGCGATGTCGAGAACCAGGGCTATGATTACTCGCTCATTTCCCAGGCACCGGATGAAGGGGCACCAATGGGGGGCTAACATGTGCTGCGCCGCGGAGAATAACCGTGTGTTCCACATCTGGAATTAAGGTTGGATGTGTAACTGCTGCGCGGTCTGAGTCGAAACCCCTGTGTAAACCGGCGGGCTCACGTCGACGCACTGCGAGGCGTTTCTATTTTAAGGCGAGAACTTCGCGAAATGAAGCAAAGTAAAATAAAAGACACTCCAGTCCTGATGCTTTTCGAAGTTTCACTTGGAAACTCGCGGGCCTGCGTAACGGCTTTATTTTCTTGCGCGGGCACGTGGAAAACGTTTTTCAGGCCCATCGGGTACGTGCTCACTGAAACATCGAGCACTCGTTGTCCGAGTTTCTGCGTAGCACAGCAAGAATTTTCTCTCTATACGGAAAAGACATGCTGTACTTTAAAGAAGATACCTTATGCATGTATAACGAACATTTTCCAAGATGAGAATGAAGGATGTAGGAATTCGGACGACTTGATGCCATTAACAATTTCATACTGATTTTCCAAAAGTTGGGCAAGCGTATGCACAGAAAATGTCTGAGTTGTTGGAAAAATGCGGATTTTGTCAGGTTGACCCACAAGCAAAATCAGATTTGACATCAATCGGATTGGTCAGAGCAGGTTATTCGATTTATCCAACTGTCGTACTTAGTTCAAGAAATATCATTTCATTGAAATAAGGCGCATTTTACAGGAACAGAATATAAAGTATAGATTTTAGCACTTAGGCCAGCGAAAAAAAAAACAAGCAATCCTGAAAACTATCTACCGAATTCCAATTTCGTTATGTCGATTGGAAAGGAGGCAGCAATTGCATTTTGATTTTCTACAAGTAATTAAGGCAATAAGATAAAAAATATTAAAGAATGTCCCTGCTTTTGACAGAAGCAGATTGATTTCTGGTATCGTAGCTTTTGGGGTACAGTTAGGACTGTACATCAGTTCCTTTGTGAGCTTGCGAAAATTCTCTTCATTGTATTCCCGATTGATCAATTCGAAGTTTTATGGATATTCGGAATTTCTACGGGTGAAGCATTGAGTACCTATGTATTTGTTCGAAATGTCAAGTTTACGTATTGATTGTTGGGCGATATTAGCAACCTTATTTTAAAATATCATTTCTTTTTTTTTTGCTTTCTCTCGAGAGCTGCTTGATCTGGAAAACCTCAGTCTGTAGCGGAAGTACGTTAAGCCACGTTAAGTACCAGCCAACGATCGAGATGTCCTTGGGCTTATTCTTAACTCCATCAGCTGAAGTTGACGCGTGGAAGAATCATCATAGAGACTTCAAACCTCAGTCTGTAGCGGAAGTACGTTAAGCCACGTTAAGTACCAGCCAACGATCGAGATGTCCTTGGGCTTATTCTTAACTCCATCAGCTGAAGTTGACGCGTGGAAGAATCATCATAGAGACTTCATCTAAGCATGGGGTTTAAGATTTTTTTTTTAAACCACTTCCATGATGTGGCACTGTTCGCGTACCAACTGGTGGGTAGCTTCAATTCCAAAGCGGACGCATTAGTCATATAGCATTTTTTTTATATTTCAAAATTTCCATGAAAATTCTACCTTCCCATTCAGCTTTCAGCGCTCAGGTTTTCTGACGCACTTCCCAAAGTCAATTATTTTCAAAGCTTCGATTTTTGCCTTCGTCCTATGGACAACTTGATGAAAAAAATTTCTTCGTATTCCATCCGCCGGTTGTAAGATTGTAAAATTGCTGCGAATGTGTTAGAAAAATAACACATATGATTCCCTCATTTCACCGATTGAAAAGCCCTGATCTGGACTATTTTCTGTATTTTAAAATGTTCAATACATGCAAGTGCTTCAGTGTTACCATGTGAATACAGCTTGAAGAGGGCATGGTAGTTTAGGTCAGTTTAACTTTTTCAAAAACAGCTTTACGCCTCGAATTCAACTTCGAATAATTTGGCTCTCATCAGTGCCCTAGCTTCCCAGCTTTTCCGTCTACAAGACCTATCACTCAATATCCATTCACTTCTGCCGCCAAAGTCTATATATTTATCAACTCGTGCGCATTGGTTTTATATTTAGAAAAGCTCACGTACCACGCACACTGGGTACAGTCTCGGCCTCCCGTCGGAAAGCTCGGATCGAACTACAAGTCGCTGTT